CAGAAAATTCTACTTTACAACTTTTACTTAATAATTTAAATTAGTTAACTTAATATAATTTTTTATAAATTTAAATATAAAAAAGAATTACTATTAAATTTATATATAATTTTAAATAGTACACTCTATTCTTAAACTTAGTTAAGATAAAGAAATATAATAGTAATAATAGAATAATATAGTAAATAAATTAACAAAAAAAAGATAATATAAATATTACTTAAATAAAATTATAAATATACTATCACCAAATTTAAATGCATTAATCTGTTAAAAAAAAATATTTATAAAAAAACTAATAAAATAATTTATTAAAAAAATTTTAGATTTTAATATTAGTACAGAATAAAGATTTATATTATTAGTTCAAAAGTTAAAGCCAAATGAGAAAAAAGAAGAATATAATTGGTTATTACTATAAAAAAAGGTAAAAGTCAAAGTAGAGTCAGATGTATAAATAAATAAAAAATAAAAAAATTTAATACTAATTAAATGTATTAATAAAAAACTATCAGTATTAAAGATTTTAATAAAAAGATATTCAAATATATACAAAAGTTTATATTGAATTCTGTGTAATAAAAATAAAAAAAAAGATTAAGAACATCTAACAATATATAAAATTTATACAAAAAGATGTTTAAATATAAAAAATTTGGCTATTAATCTGATTTGAATAATGCTTTTAAAAAAAACCTATAAAAAGACAAGCAAATTAGAATTAATAAAGATTTTATAAAGAGAATTAATAAAAAAAAAGCCGAATATAAATTCAAAAGCATCAAAAAATTAATTTGAAAAAAGACAAAAATGATAGTATACAACCTTATTCAAATCTTTAAAAAAGCTAAAGAGTTTATAACTATTTAAATAAATATAGCATTAAATAGTTTTTTTAAAAAAATATATAAAAAAAATATTATAAAATAATAACTAATTGAAAAAAGACAAATAAAATTAATTTTGTAGATAAAAAATAAAATAAAAATATATTAAATAACAGTACAATTTACAAATATTTATATAAAAAAGAGAAAGATAATATATTAAATAGTCAAAATCAATCTATAAAAGAAAAGAATAAGAAGGATAAAAAAAAAGTACAAGAATTATAGTTAGATTTAGTTGTTGATTTTATTGAGAAAAAAATAAAATTATTTTTTATAACCTTAATAATTAGTTTGATATAATTTTTAACCAATATGACAACAATTTATAAAGTAGCTAGAAAATATTGAATCAAAATTTAAGTCAACTTAGTACAAATATATATATATAAATCTTATTAAAAATGATTAGCAAGATTGCCAAAATATAAAAAAAAGATTTGAAAGCTGTATAGTTAAAACTAATAAGGTACAACAACTATATAATTATTTGAAAAAAGTTTGTACTTATATAGAAATTAAATTTTATAAATACTATATGAGTTAGTTTTAAAATTTTATATAATTATAAATAAACATAATTATAAAGAAGGTAACTATAAAGAGATCTAACTGTATATATTTATAGTTAATTCTCTCTATAATTATACAATTAAAATAATAATAATTTTTTTTAAAAATATACTTATAGTAATTTTTTATATATTTTTATATAATGTATAGTATGGGACAGTAAAAAACATCCAATCTATACATATAAGTACCAATTTTGAGAGCATATATAATCAAATTTGAATGATTAATTTTTGTATAATTAATTTTAATTGGTTAAAAATATATATATGCTTTCTTTTTTTTTATAATAAGCACCAATTTTTTGAACTCATATAAACTTTAATCCATTATAATCTTTTTAAAACAAAGAATAAAAAAAATCCTCTAACAGAAATGTAGTTTATTTAAAAATCTATAAATTTGTCAGAAGGTTTTTTGATTTAGCTTGTTTTTAAAAAGCTATAACACTTTAAAGTTTTTATTAATAACATTTAATGTGTTTTACTGTCCGGTACTATAGGAAATCTATACTCAACAGTTACAATTTTAAAGATATTTAATATATATATAGAACTAATATAGTTCTATAAAATTACCAGTCAGGTTTTTAAAAAAATGAAACACTTTGTGTAACTGTTGAGTATAGACTTCCTGCATCATGATAGTTTGTTTTACAAAATTAAATGCTTATATAGAAGTGTGATTATATAGAGCATTACTAAAAAAGGTCTGACTAAACAATATTTTATTAAAAATTAAATATAAATTTCATAAAAATAGGTTTATACATATACAGTATACGTATTATGTTTATAAAAATATAAATACAAAATTTTTTAAAAATCATATCGTAGTTGTTACCCAGTACTTACACATACATATTATTACTAATTTTACCTATGACGAATGGTTATTTCTTATTACATTTTGCAAATGTAATCTGGAAAGTGGATTTAAACTTACGATCTGCTTCCATTTCGCTTATATCACAATTCTTTATTAATTATTATTTATTACATAATTGGAAATATTAATATGTTACTAAACTTGCCCATCTTAATTTTAGCAGGCTTAGTAGACTCAAATTGACCCAAATGTCAGCATCAAACAGCGATAAATAATATTTTGTTAATTTATTATACGTATTATAAAATAACACTAAGCCAAACCAAATTAATAGATATATCGATATCGACATTTTTCACTGGTAGGTTCATATTAACTACGAACTTGTGTATAGCCCTACAATGAAAACCTTATAAAATATTTTTACAGAAATTACAAATTGATGTCTTATGTAAATTATTCGTAGTGATGTCAATCTAAATTTCTATTATGGTTAAAAAATAGCATAATTTGATATTAATATTATGTCAACCATCTGTTTTTTTTTTTTTTTTTATAGACATGTTTTTTAAACACTAATCAGCTAATTAAGCGTAGAAAACACCGTGATCATGACTTTGGGAAAGTTTTTAATGCGTATAAAAGCATCAAATATTAAATTTACGAGTAACTATCGTAGAATATATATCACATTACTGTAAAAACAATTGTAATTACATATGCAGAAGTTTTAAACTATTAATGTTGTGCAAATTATTCCAATCTCTATTCTATAATCAGGTTGATTCTAAAAGTTTCAGCATTCATGGCTTCCTTCTTTGCAACATCCCAATCTTCTTCGTCGATCAAACTGATCTTTTCCCCAGCATGATTTAAATAATATAATCTATCCATGGAGATTTTAACATTGTACCGTTGTTCGATAAGTGCGGTTAATTGTTTAAGATAAGTATCGAATGAAATTAAAAGTGCATATTTTTTGGTTATAAAAATACACGTGATATGCAGCTGGGTTGTGGATAATGAGAATAAATTATATAATCAAGAGGATTGAAAAAAGTGATAAGATTGGAAATAGGTTGGAGTACCTCTGAATCACTGTTAGAATTTTTAGAAGTTTTTAATACATTTCTTTTTTCGGGTTGAACAGTAATCGTGGAATTAGCAATTTGATTAACATTATCATTTGTCCAATGCTTTTCTTTACTTTCATTTATCCAATCGGTAATACCATCATTAACATGATTATTGTTATGAACCTGAGACTCATCATTTCCATCGTTGTCAAGTGCTGTTATTCTGGTATTGGATCGTATTGTTTGTTTTTCACAAAGGTCATCTCGAGCAGGTTTGATGAATGATCCTTTATTCTTTACCTAATAGTTATTACGCAGGATGACATAACAAAAATAATTATAATTAAGTTCTACAACATTACATGGTTTAAGCAAATATTACCTCTTGATTTACCGTATTATCGTTTGAGTGTTGAGAGTTCTTTATACTATATTGTGGTGATGGCTACAGAAATTAAGAATAAACATACACTTAAAACTAATATGTGAACAAGAGTAAATAGATAAAAATTAGAGGGTCGAATCTACCTTTACATTGGTCGATTTCCACTGCTTAATGTGGTTGATCAACTTAACTATTAAGCTATTATCAACGTCTTTACATATTTTGAATATAATAGTAGTTGCATCATCCAACTTCCCACGACTTGGATCAACAGGAGTTTGAAGCCTAACATCAAGGAACTTAAGAGGAAATTCGTAAAACTATGGACATCCAATAATGTTATAAAGAAGAAAAATTAAATAGAGTCTAGATAACATCTAATTCTCAACCCATTATTTATTCGCTCACTTCTTTTTTAAATCCTTTTTTCATATCTAGCAATATCTCCTTTTGACCTGTTACATCACTAAACCGAAACTTTGCCACCTGATCTAAATCAAACGCAATTTCTTTATTTTCATCGACCATAACAATGCAAATTTGGCTCGGTTTTCTAAAAACCAAAGCTAAGTTTGGCTTAACTGTGTCTTGCAATTTCTGAGTGGATAATTGAATATCTGAAGGCTGTAAAACAATTTGGGCTATCTCAATGCAAATGTAATTATCTGAATGTTCGACACTTTCTAAGAGTGATTTGTTTGCCATGGCGGAGGTGTCAGTATTGTTGTAAATTGATGAAAAATTACGGGATGATGGTGTTACTTTTAAAGAATTCAAATAAGAAACAAAATGGTCAAGGGAAAAAAGTTAAATAGGCCAATTGAAGTTTCAGAACAGCTAAGATAAAATTACAGATCATCTTACCAAAACCAACATAAAGATCGTCATCACTGTCACCATATTCGTAATCGCTAATACCATCTACCTGACGACGAGTTTGGTTTCGTAGTTCCATATTTACTTTATGAAAAATCTTTTAAAAAGGAAAATTAGAAAGCTGACGCTAACATGTATTAACAGATTGGTTTGCTTGCTCTTTATCAATTTTTTTTTTCTTTTTTGTTCTTCTCAACGGTTAATTATAAAATGACGAAGTTTGAACTTAACTGATAAGAGAAAATTGATAAGAGAAAATTAATTGTCTGAATGCAATGTCGTGAGTAAAGTTTCAATCGAAGTAATTACACGTTACATCAATTTCATGGGCTCAATAATTATATATTATATGACGCAACTACATTTTAGATAGGGTAGGCCATATACCCTTATTTGTATTATGATCATGAGTTTGATAACCAAAAATCTTTATATGATGATAAAATAATTTATAGACGTTTTCAATCTTAAAGAATGTATACGTTTAACATTCTTAAATCCAAGGGTAACTCAACCTCACTAGGTTATTTAGCATACATAGCAGTAAGGTATTTGAAATATTTTCCATAACGTAGCTTTATTTTAGAAAAAAAATAATATACCTATACATTTACCGCATTCCTCCGAAAATAAGCACCTTTTTTGCTATAGGGATGCTTATTTTCGGGTATAATCTCAACTAATAATTTGTATGATTTGATATTTAGTTACTTAGTTACTTATTTCTATTATATAAAAGGTGCTTATTTTCAGGTATATATGAATTGTAGGAGGCGCTTACTTACGGGGTGCTTCTTTTCGGAGGAATACGGTAATCATTCTCATTCTTTCATCGCTAGTAAGTTTGATTTCCATTCTTTTTTGACGAACAAAATTCTGTGACGTATTCATATTTAAAAATAGCAAAGAACTATTTACAATCTGTTACTTCGCGTATATATATACATTCATATGATTTTTAAATGCATTATGTAAATTTAATTTCTATGTAGTGTTGTATATGTTTACTGTTTATAAAGATTTTTAACCATGTTTAACATTAATATTTAATTATTATTTTTGTTTTTGCTAAGATTAATGTTTACAGCAATTATTATTATTATTATTATTATTTTTTATTTATTTTTTTTTTAACTTAAGCAGTCACGCTAGTGCTTTATTAGAATTCTTGATACTATACAGATTACAGAGAATTTTCCTAATACTTAAGTTCAGCATCACCCAGTCACCTTATTGGTACCTAAGTGTGACCTGTCACACTACCTCAAACAGAGGTAGACTGCTCGTCTGACTGCCACCCTACAATAGGATATCACCAATCTGATGATGTCTTCTCGTAGGGAAGCAAAAAAACAAAAAAAAGATTTTATATGTAAA